AGCAGGTGATGACTCAAATAATCATTTTGCACTCCTGGTTTTTGTCCTGGTCCAGTCATGATATTGTGGGGCATTTGTGGAATTAGCAGTAGATAGATTATCTTTCTCTGTTTCTGTGTATTGCTGTAATATCTCTCCTGTATCATGCCATATCAAATTCTAAATATGTTTATAATTTGAATTTCTGCTTCTACACAATTATTTGAAAAGCAGAATGGGGGAGAGAAGTGGAGGAGGAGGTGGAGGAAAGCAGGAGGTGTTGTGGGTAGAGAGAGAGCTTTCCAGTGTCGGATGCACTTCAGAAATGGCCCCAACGGCCCAAGGCAGTCCAGAGCCAGGACCTCTTCCAGCCATCCACTCAGCGCAGGAGTCCAAGGACAGCGCCCATCCCTTTGCGCTCATCCAAGCACGAAACCACGGAACAAGATCACCGGTGTCTCAGTCTCTCTCACTGTCCACTCTGCCTGTCAAAAAAATAAAAAAAAAGAAGAAAAAAAGTAAATGTTGCAAACTAACAAGAGATAAGCAGAGCTGGTGGTTGGCTAGAGAGAGATTTATTAATATGTACACAGTTTATTCTATAGAGGGTATATTATCATCTACAATTTCCAGCGAGCTTGAGAGTGCATTTAAAAAGAAAAGAACAAAGGACAGTAACTTCAGGAAGTCAGCCGAGTGAGATGAGATCAACATGTTCTGGTGGGGTGTGTGTGTGGAGAGGTGCAGGCAGGTGGCTGGCTGGGATCTGTGGTGGGGTGGGGGTGGGTGGGCAGGCACACCCAGGCTCCTGAAGCTGGCAGGGAGCATGAAGGGTGCCAAGGAGGACGATGGAGCTACTATCAGAGTTAAGGACTAGCCAGGCAGGGTAGCCCCGATGTTCCCGGAAGTGGAAGCGCGGGAAAGTGCAGTGAGGGTGTGTGCGGAGGGTGTGTGCCCCGGGAGACGTGGCAGCTCCGGGTAGGGGCTGAGCTTGTGCAGCCAGCCCCTCTTTGCCCTGCCCGCTGGCTACCAGTCCCCAGGGAGCCCCACGCCGTCCGGACAATGTACCAGGTAGACTCTGCTCCCCCTTCCTGCCAGGCTGGCCCGACTCCCTGCAGGGGCCCCCACCCCCACCCCGCCCCTCTCCAGCGTCAGCTTCCCTTTCCCTTGTACATCCGGAGCTGCTTCCGTGCCCCCTGCCCTGGCGGCTCTGCCCCGGGGTTCCAGAGAGCCTCAGACTGGCAAAGGGGCAAGAACAGGGTCTCCTGTCACAGAGAGAACTGTGTGGGAGATGGGACAGGGTTGACAGAGTGACCAAGGGATTAAAGGAAGTGGGTTTGCCCTGGGCAACATTTCTTGCCTCCGACCCATGAGGAGAACCAGGCTGAGGGCTCAGGGTCAGTGGGAGGGTGGTCCCGCCGGGGAGGGAGTAGGGGAGGGAGGAAAAGTTTCTGGAAATTCTGATGACCTCACCAGTGCTGGGATTCATAGTTATGAGGTTTGCTAACTTTACTACGGCCCTCCATTCCCACTCAGTACTTTGTTGTTGTTGTTTTTTCCCAAAGATTTATTTATTTATTTGCAAGCCAGAGTTACACAGAGAGGAGAGGCAGGGAGAGAGAGAGAGAGAGAGAGAGAGAGAGGTTTTCCCTCTGATAGTTCACTCCCCAGATGGCCGCAACGGCTGGCGTTGCGCCGATCCAAAGCCTGGAGCCAAGAGCTTTTTCTGGGTCTCCCATGTGGGTGCAGGGGCCCAAGGACTTGGGCCATCTTATACTGCTTTCCCAGGCCATAGCAGAGAGCTGGATTGGAAGAGGAGCAGCCAGGACTAGAACCAGTGCCCATATGGGATGCCGGCACTTCAGGCCAGGGCATTAACCCGCTGCGCCACAGCACCGGCCCCACTCAGTACTTTGAAGGTGGGGTCAGGACCCCCAGCTTTTGGTTGAAGGACTCTGGGACCATGACAGAGGTAGCCTGGTTTGGGCCTTGCCCCTACTTCCAGGCCTCCTAAACCTGATCCTGAGACCTAAGGGCACAGGGTGTAGTTATGGGATTAAGCGTCCCCTGCCATCTTACCCCATGCCTCTGGGGTTCACATCCCCTCTTCCCTATCCCCCTCCCTGTGAGTCAGGAGTAAGGGGAGCCTCAGCTCGCTAGGCAGTGACTTCCTTTTTCCAGGAGTTTAAAAAGCAGCTGTTCAAGGCTACTGCCTAGGACAGGGGATACAGCCCTGACCCAGGACACAGGAGCTGTCGGGGAACTTTGCTAGAGACCAAGGAGGAAGAGGCGGTGGGAGGCGACGTGGGGGCCAAACTCTGTAGGCCAGACTCTAATGAACTTCCTCTTTTTGTCCCTTTCTGAATGACTTTGTCCTCTCTCTCTCAACTGTTTCTCTCTGTCTTTATCTCTCTTTTTTCTTTCCCATTTCCTCTTTGTATCTTTCTCCATATCCATTCTGTTTTTCTTTCATTTTCTTGGTTGTGTTTGTGTGCATGTGGGCCTGTTTCTTGTTCCCTCTGCCTCTGTGTCTTTTATGTCTGTGTGTCTTTGTCCCCCTCCCCCCATCTTCTCTTGAGTCTCTCTCTCTCTTCTCAGTTCCCTTTGTGTATCCATCTGTCTCTACTTTTGTCTTTTTCTGTGTGTAAACATCTATGTCACCCTCTGTCTCTGCCACTCCCTTCCCAGGATGGCCACAACCCCCAGCCTTCTCCAGCTGTGAACGGCTCATCTGGGCAAGGGCCCCAGAGGCAGCTCCCCGAAGTGCTGGGTGGGGCCTGGGAACCACCTCCAGGGGGCGGGCTGCCCCAGATCACCATCATCGTTGCTGTCTTTGTCCTGCTGGCCATCTGCATTGTGGTGGCAGTCCATGTGGGGCCAAGGCTGCACCAGGGCCATGCCACTTTCCCCACAGAGCCTCCAGTGCCAAAGCCGGAAGATGGCATCTATCTCATCCACTGGCGACTACTGGGCTCCCAGGATAGTCACCAAGAGGCCCAGAAAAGAGCTGCTGTCCCCAGCTCCTGCCCTGCACCAAATGGACCAAGGCCCAGCATTGAAGAAGTTACATATTTGTAGGAGGAAGCCTTCGGGCATTCAGCCTGACCTGGCTCAGAAGGAGAAACTGGACAGAGAATTAGAGCAAAAGAAAATTGGAGCCTGAGCATCTGAGCTTTGAAGGGCACACAGGACTCCACTGCTAGGAGTCTGAGCAGCTCTGAAGGAAGCCCCCGCTTGGACAGGGGAAATCCAAGAAGCCTGAGGCTCGGCCCTGAAGCCTGCAGTGGTATCTCTTCTGGTGCCCAAGGCCACCCTGGCCAAGTTACTTCTCCTCTTCTAGGGCCACTGGACTCCTGAACCCTCTTATTCAATCCCAGTACCCTCCTTGGACCCCTCGTCTCCTTCCCTTTTGGTGTAGAGTCAAGACCTTTGGAAGATTCCACCACCTGCCGCAGCCCCAGGAAGGAAGGTCAGAGAACCTGGCTCCATGGCCCCCAGCCCTACAAAAGCCAGTCTGGCAAAGAACTCGTGATCTGCCTTCTCTGAGACCCTCCGGGACTGCAGGAAGGAAGGGACATCTGCTGCCCGCCACCTGCTGGTGGGCAGCCCTTGGGCTATTGGTACTCAGGCCCGGTCAACAACTTTCAGAGCCCTTGTAAGCTCCAGGTACCATTCATAGTTCAAATACTGGCTTTGACCCCCATAGACTCTGTCCTGCCTTCCCAGGATGTGATGGGAGGGGGGTGGATTCGGGGCCTCTTGTAACCTCCCACATTTGATGTACAGGCTCATTGGAACAAACCTAGAATTTACCACAGGACATGTCCCAGATCCGAACTTTCTAGCCAGTGGGAAAACAGGAAAGGAAGAGGAGTTTCATGGAAGTTGCTTGGGGAAGGAAGGAGTGGGGCGTGAGCAGAGTCAGCAATGGTTTCAGGAAGACTGAGCAGGGTCTCCCAATGGCTTTTGGCATGGGTGCCTTTCTTTGGCATCTCTGAACTTTGCTCCAGTGAGGTCAAGAACACACAGTCGTTCGTGGAAGGCCCTCTGGTGCTTAGCCCCGGGAACTCCTGAGGACAGCAAATCAACATGGGGACCTGGCTTTGGTGAGATCCCCACATAGAGAGGCAGGAAACTAACAGAGTAGAGAGGAACAGAGGTGGGGACTGCAGTCTGTGCAGAGGACAGACTTACTTCCTGGGGGACCGGCAAGCAGTGGCTATAGTATCAATAGCTACTCCTTTCAATAAAAATATTTATTTATTTATTTATTTATTTGAAAGATGGTGGGGGGGGGAGAGATATGGGCCAGGCTGAAGCCAGGAGTTTCTTCTGGGTCTCCCACATGGATTGCAGGGGTACAGGTACTTAGGCCATCTTCTGCTGCTCTCCCAGGCCATTAGTAGGGAGCTGGACTGGGAGTGCAGCAGCCAGGACACGAATCAGCACCCATATGGGATACCAGAATTGCAGGCAGCAGCTAATCTGCTGTGCCACAACAGTCCCAACAGCTGCTCTTTTTAAATGTTTATTTATTTATTTTATCTACTTGGAAGGCAAAGTGAGCAAAGTGAGAGAGAGAGATTCTATTCACTGGTTCCACTCTCTGAATCCCCTGAGCACCTCAGGCTGGGAGGAGCCGGGAACTCCATCTGGGTCCCCCACATGGATGGCAGGAGCCCACCATCACCTACCTGTTGCCTCCCAGGATGCATTAGCAGGAAGTTGAATTCAAAGTAGAATAGCAAGACTCAAACTTGTACTCTGAGATGGGATGCCAACATCCTAAGCCAAGGCTTAACCAGCTGTGCCACAGTACCTGTCTCTACTAGCTGCTCCTTCTGAGTCTCCAGGCTTACAAGTGGACCTACAGAAATGATACTAACCCCCACCTGCCACAACACTGAGATGGGGCCCACTGTTACTCTGAATTTATACATGGGCCAACTGTGGCTCATCAAGACATCAGGCAGACACAGGTACAAACTGTTGGAGCCAGGATTGAACCTGGGGCTTTTAGACTGCATAGCCTGGCCCCAAGGTGGGGCTGAGGGGTGGAGGAAGGTTGTGTTGGTGAGGCCCTTGATGCTGTGCTGGTTTCTGGTGTCAAAGAGCCAAGTGTGGGCCGGTGCTGCAGCTCACTAGGCTAATCTTCTGCCTTGCGGCATCGGCACACCAGGTTCTAGTCCCGGTCCAGACACCAGATTCTATCCTGGTTGCCCCTCTTCCAGGCCAGCTCTCTGCTGTGGCCCAGGAAGGCAGTGGAGGATGGCCCAAGTGCTTGGGCCCTGCACCCCATGGGAGACCAGGAGAAGCACCTGGCTCCTGGCTTCGGATCAGCGCGGTGCGCCAGCCGTGGTGGCTATTGGAGGGTGAACCAACGGCACAGGAAGACCTTTCTCTCTGTCTCTCTCACTGTCTACTCTGCCTGTCCAAAAAAAAAAAGAGAGAGAGAGAGAGAGAGCCATGTGTGATGTCGGAGAATCCTCAGGCCTTGGGGACAAGATGGTATAGACAGCTGGGGAACAGGGGGACTGTTCCCCCTTGGCTCCCTTGGCTCTGTCACCCTTAGGGGAGCCAGTTCCTTCTGAAAAATGTGTGTCTCCAAACAGATGCTGGACTTATAAATGCACGTTGAACTTGTGTGATAAAAATGGGTGGGAGGGAGGGATCAAGTCCAGCCCTGGGGCAAACGATGGAACCTGTAGCCATGATGTGGCAGTTGAGCCACTGTGGACAGTGCTGCTGCAGCTGCTCTGCCTGACAGTGATGGTGTGAAGTATGGCAGGGTAACTGGCTTTCACCCCCAGGGGAAGTCCCGTCTCTTCACACAGACCCTTAACCCTTATCCTTTTGCAAGCTCTCTCATCTGAGGATGTTTATTCAGTTGTCCTTGCTCTTTTGAGTGGCGCCTTTCCCAGGATGCAGCTGTATGGCACTCGTGGCCAACACTTGCTCCTTGGTCCCCAAGCCTCCCACTGGAAATGAGGGGCAGGTGTTTGGTCCAGTGGTCAAGACGCCACTTGGCACACCTCAAATTCCTTTCCAAGTGCCTGGGTTTGAGTCCTGGCTCTGCCTCCAATTCCAGATGCTTGCTAATGTACATCCTGGGAGGGTACCAATTGCCACCAATGTAGGGAGACCTGAATGGTTTTCCTGGCTCCTGGCTTCAGCCTGGCCCTGCCCCAGCTTTTGCAGGCATTTGGGGAATGAACCAGCAGATGGGACTTCTCACTGTTGTTTTTTTTTTTTTTTTTTGACAGGCAGAGTTAGACAGTGAGAGAGAGAGAGACAGAGAGAAAGGTCTTCCTTTTTCCGTTGGTTCACCCCCCAAGTGGCTGCTACGGCCAGCGCGTTGTGGCCGGTGCAATGCGCCGATCCGAAGCCAGGAGTCGGGTGCTTCTTCCTGGTCTCCCATGTGGGTGCAGGGCCCAAGCACCTGGGCCATCCTCCACTGCACTCCCTGGCCACAGCAGAGAGCTGTACTGGAAGAGGAGCAACCGGGACAGAACTGGCGCCCCAAACAGGAATAGAACCCGGGGTGCCAGCGCCACAGGCGAAGGATTACCCTAGTGAGCCACGGCGCTGGCCACCTCTCCCTCTTGCTCTCACTCTGTGTTTCTACCTTTCAAATCCAAGTTTTTTGGGGCTAGTGCTGTGGCACAGTGGGTTAAAGCCCTGGCCTGAAGTGCCGGCATCCCATATGGGCACCGGTTCTGTCCTGGCTGCTCCTCTTCCAATACAGCTCTCTGCTGTGGCCTGGGAAAGCAGTAGAAGATGGCCCAAGTCCTTGGGCCCCTGCACCCATGTGGGAGAGCTGGAAGAAGCTCCTGGCTCCTGACTTCAGATGGGCTCAGCTCTGGCCGTTGCAGCCATTTGGGGAGTGAACCAACAAATGGAAGACCTCTCTCTGTGTCTCCCCCTCTCTCTGTAATTCTGTATTTCAAATAAATAAAAATAAATCTTTAAAAAATCCAAGTTTTTTAAACATTTGAAAAAGGGCAGATCAGGTGGGGGGTGCTGTCCCACTTTACGCCCTCAGCCCAACTGATGGACTTTGTGCACACTGCAGTGACACCCATCACCCCAGTGCCCTACACAAGGATGAGCACAGGTGCAGGAAGCATCCAGTTGCAAGCCAGTGTGGACATCAGAGCTAATAAATGCCAAGCTCTTGTAGCTGTTGGGTCCCATAGCAAAAAGATGACACACTCAAGTTCAGTAATTGGAGGCACATTTTAAAAAGAGACTATTGGGAAAGCACAGGGTATAAGCAAACCACAAGTGAGAGTGAATGCTCAGGGCGGGTGGGGTGGGGAGCCAATACCGCTGCTAGAGGCAAGGAGGGGAAGAGGTTCTAGAAACCTGGAGATGGACAGGGTCATCTAGAGGCCTCCCGGCAGGAGAGTCCCCAGTGACCTTGATATTGCAGGGAGGGAGCTGGACAAATAAACATCCCCACCTCACTTCCACCTTCCCTCCCTTCTCCTGCTGGGGTCCCCATGGACCGAATATGACCAGAAGCCAAAGGGCGAGGGAGCCTGTTGGTGCCATCCAGGCAGGTCAGTGTCCCCAAGTAGAAGAGGTAGAGAAGGGACAATCATCAGGCTGGAGGGTCCAGTGGAAGACACTGGGCATGTCTCTAAAGTTTGCATGGTATTCAGCATTCACAAAACACTTGCACACACTCCTAGTCCTCACACCACAACGCTGTGTGGCAGGAAGGTGATGAGGCTCCCATTTCACAGACGAGGAGCTGAAGCTCAGAGAGGTGAGGTGGCCCAAGGACACAGATAGGACCCATGCTGAGACGTCACATCCAGAGCCTTGCTCTGCCAGGCCGCCTGTGGGAGGACATGGCTCTGCGGGACATTCAGCTGCTGAAGCAAGCCCCCACCAGAGTCTTGGGATCACCGGAGGCTCGGGCAAGGAGAGCCTGGTCTCAGAAGACATCAGTGCGCAGTGGGAGAGGCTGCTCCATGCCACTGATGAGGAGCTGGGGCTCTTGGGACAGCGTGCAGGGGGAACCATGGACTGCCAGGGGCCCCACATGGCCCACCATGACCTCCTCCCTTTCCTGCTGCCGCAGGTGCCGGAGAACCTCCTGTGACAGGGAGAAACTGCTTCCCTCGGCAGGTTCTGGAATGGGAGTGAGGCAGGAGAGCTGGAGTGAGGATCTTACACATCCCCTACTCAAACACACCCAGAAAGATTACTGAGGTCTTCAGTCCTCCCCTTACCTCTTCCCAGCCACCCGCCAGCCACTGGAGCTATAGTTCTAGCCCAGAGCTAGAAGTGGTTTTAGAAGAATTCCACACTCTTGCTCTTAGGGAGGATGCCCAGAGAGGGGCAGAGCCTTCACACAGCGAGGGCGTGGCAGAACCCAGGCTGCAGACCTGGACCCTTGTGTGCCCTATAGGCTTGCCTGGCCTTCTCCGGTTCCCTCTTGCATCCTGGATCAGTAAAGGGTCCCTATAACCCATCTCTTCAACCCTCCCTGGCCCAGGCGTACAGCTGAAGACCTCAGAAAGCATGGATTGCTTGTCCCAGAGTGAGTGGAGGGACTTGTCCAGGGTAGGAGAACGGAGGGCCCTGGACACCTTGCTGCTATGGCTCCTTCTGGCCCTCTGGGAGGCCCTGGCACCCTTCTACCTTCCATCCAGGCTGGCGAGCCCTCACCCTGGTAGACAATGAGGCAGCAGTTGTTCTGAAACTCCGGGGCCTCTGCCAGGATGTCCTCGAGTGTCCGGCAGAAGAGTTTGGCCTGCTCCAGCCGATCCTCACGGCTAAAGCCAGCCCGGCCATCCTGTGACATGGCAAACAAGGTCTGCAGAGGGGTGGCATACTCCAGGACACAGGCAGCTGCCTGGAGAAGGTGAGAGGATGACCAGTTTGAGCCAGAAGCCAGACAGACTGACTCGGGCTGAGACACCCACTCCCTCCTTCTACAGAGTAGAGCCCTGGAGGTGGCTACCTGATGCGGTCTATGCAGTCTGATCTGCTTTGGCCTCTGATCCCTGACTCCTGAAACCAGGACCAGGCCTGAGCTAAATTCACCTACTACAGCTCCTTCTCCTAAACCCAGGGCGAGGCCCTCAGAGCTAGGCTGTCGACTGCCCTAGCTGGAGACTGAGTCGGGGGCTGGGCTCTGGGGTTCACCTCAGGACTGGGTTCCCCTGCACCCATATGAAGTCCTTCAGAAGTTCTCACAGCCATCCTCTAGGGCAGCTTTATGGTCAAGAGCATGATATACTTCAGATGAACTTATCCACTTTCTCACTGTGTCTCTGAGCCTCAGTTTCCTCCTCTGTAAAGTAGGATTGAACAGTCCCTACCTCACGGGGTGGTGGTACAGATGGCACAGGGTGATCAGGTGACTCATGCAGAGTAGCTTCTGGCATGCAGTGTGTGCTCAATAAATGATACTTATCATTATCTTTCAGAACTGAACCTTGCCCAGCCCTGGGACCAGCTGGGGAAACTGAGACTCAGAAAAGGGCAATGGATTTTCCTCAGTGCTTGGCCAGGGCCCAAGACTCTGAGGAGCCTGACCCTTCCCCAGGGGCCCCCACTACCCTGCGTGCTCACCGGCTGCCCATTCTCTAGAATCTCATAGACACTGTTGCTGTAAGCCCGACCCTTGATGCCAGCACGGTCAGTGTTCTGCTGGGGCAGCATATGCAGGAAACGAATGTTGGGGTCGGCCATGCTCAGGTCATCAGGCACCCCACAGTCCAATGGGAAGAGGACGTACAGGCGCCGGCTGCCCATGCCCGATAGTATGTTGTTGTGGAGTTGATTGTAAGCGTGGATCCGAGCGTGGAGCCCTGGGGTAGGAAAGCTCAAGAAGTCATTCCCACCAATACTGTCTCCCACCAAATTCCAGCCCGAGACCCAGGTCCTTGGTGCTCTCAGTACATGGGTGCAAGAAAGCTTTGTCCAGCCTACTCTCATTGTGCAAGAGGCCATGAGGGGCAGAGCATTCAGGCACCCTCCCCACTTTCCTGTCACTTCCTTCCTTCCCCTATCACTTCTCTTTTCTCCAGATTCTGTGTCAGCCCCATGCCTTCCTATTATAGCTTTCAGAGGCCTGAGATGCAGGCAATATTCCCAGCATTCCCGGGGCAGAGAGGCCAGAACCTAGCACAAGTCCAGCAATTGGATGTGGGAGAGGAACAGCCTTGGTCTGCAAATCAGAAGCATGAGACACATGGGCCCCACAGTAGTCAAAAACTCAGGCTCTGGGCAGACCTGGCCTCAAATCTTGTCTCTTCTCACTAAGTCAAGTGATGAAGGACAAGTCTCTTGGAACCACAGTAGGGATGATGAATATCCCTTCCTCACAGGGTGTGAGATGGAAGAGAATATACACAATTTTGGGAGCGATCCAGTGGACGGGAGCTCTGCTTCTGCCTCTCAAAGAAAGTAAATTAGTAATTCAATAAGAGAAAATGCACAGTAAGGGGCACCTGGCCTGTGGTATGGATTAGAAGAATTCACTGGGGACCTTGGGCACACCCCTTAAAGGCTCTAGGCCGCATCTCCCTCACTGTAAATCAGGCACCACGATAACATCCTCCACGCCTACAGGAATGCACTGGGGACCAAAAGATTCAATAGACAGGAATATGCTTTGAAAAGTACGGAGGCCGGCGCCGCGGCTCACTAGGCTAATCCTCCGCCTAGCGGCGCCGGCACACCGGGTTCTAGTCCCGGTCGGGGCGCCGGATTCTGTCCCGGTTGCCCCTCTTCCAGGCCAGCCCTCTGCTGTGGCCAGGGAGTGCAGTGGAGGATGGCCCAGGTGCTTGGGCCCTGCACCCCATGGGAGACCAGGAAAAGCACCTGGCTCCTGGCTCCTGCCATCGGATCAGCGCGGTGCGCCGGCCGCAGCGCGCCGGCCGCGGCGGCCATTGGAGGGTGAACCAACGGCAAAGGAAGACCTTCTCTCTGTCTCTCTCTCTCACTGTCCACTCTGCCTGTCAAAAAAAAATTAAAAAAAAAAAAATAAAATAAAAAATAAAAAAAAAAAAAGAAAAGAAAAGTACGGAGAGTTCTGGAAATACAGGAGGCTGTGAGCCTGTCTTGTGGGTCTGGAAAGGGGGGGTGTGGAGGAAGACCCACCTGGCAGGATCAGCCGCAGGTACCCAATGTAGTACGACCATGCCAGCCCGTGGGCCACATTGAAGTTCTTTCTTTCACAGATTGTAGAGACCTCAGCGGGGGTCAGGCTCTGTGGACAGTAGGATGGTGTTGGGAGCCTCCAGCAATGACACCAGAGCCCTCCTCCTCCAAGAAGGTTTCCCAACCTGCTGCTGATTCGTTCCCTCCTCTGTCATCACTGAACCCACTGCCCAGTACGTCAAAGGCTCCCCTCCAAGACTCCAACCTTTAAACTAGTGCCATTCCCGGGAGCTCAGAGAAAGACCCAGCCTCCACTCGGCCAAACCTTCCACCTCCCACTGTGTCCTACCTGTAGGCCCAGGAGGATGTTCAGTGCCTGGGAGAGGCCCAGGAGGGCAAGCATCCATGAGAGGGGCAGGCCTGCCACATTCGGGAGGGAGGAGTAGAAATAGCAGGACAGCAGCATCAGGGCCCCGTGGCGGATGGGGCAGCCCAGGCAGGACCGCATGGCCTTCCAATAGCTGCTCTGGTACCTGCAGGGGACAACCCAGTCCCAGATCCCAGCCCAGCTCAGCCAGGGATGTTTGGGGAGAGACAGGGCTAACAGACCCTGGGGTGATACCTGTTGGGTACCCCATCACCCTGGGCACTGCTGGGACTCACCTGGAGTGGATGTGGCACAGCTCCTCCGCCAGACAGCAGGCCCCTTTCAACAGCAGTCCCAGCTGTAGGGAGGCCAGGTGGAGCACCAGGCACCGCAGAGTGTGCTCTGGGGGCTCCCCCAGCCCCCAAAGGGACACCAGACAGACACCCAGCAGAACCAAGGCTGCCTTCTCGGCCCCATGACCCCTGGGTCGTGGGATGGCTGGATGCAGGCTTGACTGGGGCATCTGTGGGCACCAAGAAATCCATGGCCATGACCTCCTCACTCTCTGGTCCTTCTGAGACCCAAGCCCTAGTCAGCCACTTCCCCCAGCTCTCTCCTCCCCTGACACCTAGCCATTCCCACAGGCTGCTTTTGGAGGCACCCCTGGGGGACAGGCTGGGCAAACACCATCCCATAGCTCTTTCCACGAGAGACCTGTTGCAAACAGAGCAACTCCAGAACATTCACAACCCCCTGAGCCCCAGGGAAACCACATATACATGACCCCTGAGCCCCAGGGAAACCACAAGTGTGATGAAGAAAGAAGGCAATGACCAGTCCAGGCCTAGACCTGAAAGTGTCCTGTGCAGCCTGGTCCACTGAAGGACCCTTGAGGCTCTGGGATCCTTTGTCCTCAGAACTCACCCGAGGAAGGACTTAGCAGAGTGAAAAGCAAGAGTTCAGGGGGTAGGGGGACAGCCTCTGGGTCTCACCTCCCAGCCTTGGAGCTCTGGCCGGCCTACCCCTCATCCTACCTTCTGATCTCTGGACACAGGTGGCTCCTGAAGGAGGACAGAGAGAGGAGACTCAGGCCAGCGACCAGGGCAGCTTCTCTGAGTACAGCCTGAAAATGAAACAGAAAAATCCATTTAAGCTTTCTCTACATCACTGTAGCCCTGGAATCTCGCCAGCAGCAGCCTTATGGGCACTGGGGAATAACCTATTTCCTGCCTTTGAGGAAAGAGGAAGAGCCCTCCCTCCCAAACCCTGGGGAGCCAGGCTTTTGTCTCAAGTGGAGATAAAGCTGGAGAAAGCCCCATTCTGTTGCCCCTGCTGCCCTCAAACCTAGGACCCTCAGAAATTCTCTCATTCTCAGTGGCAGCCACAGTCCTGAGCCCAGGTCACCCTCCAAACCCACAGTCAAAAGCTCTCTACCCAGCACAGAGTAGGACTCCACACACCAGGCCCAGGGCAACACCCACAGCCCTCACAAAGCCTCCCTGTCTGATTCTTTTTATTCTGATGTCCACATACAGATCCTCTTTTGCCGAAGACTGTGACATCAGGAGGGAGGCGGGGAAAACGAGAAAAGTTATTTCCCGGAACGACAGCATGTTTAGTGAAGGGCTGGGTAGGAGCAGAAGGCCTGTGAACAAGTAGAGTTTGGGTTCCGTGCAGGAAGTAGCCACGCCCATGGTTTCTCAGAGCCAGCACAGCTGTTAACACCCAGAAAGGCGGTTGTGCAGACGGCTGTAAAAACCGTGTTTACCTTGTTCCGGATGCCGCGCCAAGTGCTGCTCTCCTTTTCATGTGTCCTCCCAGCCACCAGGTCATGTGGGTATAATTGTATTGTTGTTTTTTTTTTTCTTGAAGATTTATTTTTATTTGAAAGGCAGAGAGAAAGAGGAACAAAAAGAAATAGAAAGAGGTCTTCCATCCACTGGTTCACTTTCCAAATGGCTACAACAATCGAGGCTCAGGACTCAGCCAGGAGCCTGGAACTCCATGTGGGTCTCCCATGTGGGTGACAGGGGCCCAAATCCTTGCGCCATCTTTGGCTGCTTTCCCAGGTGCATTACGAGGGAACTGCATTGCAAAGAGAGCAGCCAGGACCTGAACGAGCGCTCCAGTGTGAGATGCCAGCATCACAAGGCAGCAACTTCACCGGCTATGCTACAACACTGATCCCTCTGTCACTGTTTTACACATGAGTAATCTGAGGTCTTGCACAAGTAAGTGAGCAGGTGGGGACTTGAAGCTTTGCCTTTGTTTTATGAGAGGGGTAAGTGCCAGGACAAGTTTCACACCCAGAGTTTGCGGCGGGTTGGGGAGTGTGTCTGGCTTCCGCCCCACAAGCTGATAAGCTGATTCCTGGACAGGGCAGGGGATGGGGTCAGAGTGGCACCAACAGAGCAGCACTAGTTTATTTCTACCCAGGTCAGAGGGCCCTAGGCTGGAGCCCTCCCCACATCACAGCCCCACACTGGAAGAGACACATATGAGGTGAGGCTTCCTGGAAGCCCTCTGGTTTTAAGAAACCATTTTGAAGGAATGGAGGGAACTCTGTATACCTTTTCTTCCCTGCAATTGGCACCCATAAAAGTCTTGAAGGATATGCTTTGACTGCACCCATGTGGGAAACCCGGAAGAAGCTCCTGGCTCCTGGCTTTGGATTGGTGCAGCTCCAGCCATTGCGGCCAAATGGGGAGTAAACCGGCATAGGGAAGACCTCTCTCTCTCTCTCTCTCTCTCTGTCTCTGTCTCTGTCTCTCTCTCTGCCTCTCCTTCTCTCTGTGTAACTCTTTCAAATAAATAAATCTTTAAAAAAGAAATCAAGAAAGAAGGCTGCTGAAGCAGGCACTATGGTGCACGGGTTAAGCCGCAACTTGGGACACCCACATCCCATATTGGAGTTTTGTCTCTGCTTCTGATCCAGCTTCCTGCTGATGTGCCTGAGAAGGAACAGAAAAAGGGCAAGTCGTTAGGTTCCTGCCACCCACATGGGAGACTGAATGAAGTTCCCAGATCCTGGACCAGCCACAGCTATAGCATGAATCTATAGAGTGGGCCAGCAGGTGGAAGATCACTCTCTGTCTGCCTCTTTCAATCTGGCCTTTCAAATAAGCGACTAAATAAATAAATATAAAATTTAAAAAAAGAAGGCTGCTGAGGAGGCAAAGTCCTCACTACCAGAGCCTTCAAATGGCAGGCCAGAAGTTTTCATGCCCCTTTTATTCACACATTCCTTGCACGTGGGCCCCAGCTTCCTGCTCTGTGTCAGGGACTGTGCTAGGCATGGGAGAAGATTTGCTGGGAAACGTGTCAGGCCTGGTATTGTTGTCATGGCACCTATGGTTGGGCAGAGGAAATGGGCATAATGTAACTGTACAGGTAAAATAATTCCAGATACAGCTTCCTGCTCTGAAGGGGAATAGGTGTGGCAGGTGCAGACTTTCCTGAAGGTGCACTGTTTAAGGCAGGCTTGCAAGGACAGGAGGGGTGGGTAGGAGCGAATGGATAAAGAGCCTTGTGAAGAGAGCAGCACACACAAAGACCCTGGGGTTAGCAGGAGCTTCTCCTGTGTAGAAATAGAGCCACGACTGGCACGGCGGGAGCGTGTGTACATGTTGGGGGATCTGTATTAATGTCCTAGGGCTGCTGTAACAAGCATCACACATTTGGTGGCTTAAAACAAGAGAAGTTTATTCTCTCATAGTTGTTGAGGTTGGAAGTCCAAAGACAAAGTGTTAGTAGGGCCACACTTCCTCCAGAATCTCCAGAGAAGGGTCTGACTTTGCCTCTCCCAGGTTCTGGTACTCCCAGGCGTTCCTTGGTCTGCTTCCATTGTTACACTGGGTTCTTCCCCTGTGTGTCTCTGTCTTCATGTGGCATTTCCTCTTCTAACAAGATCACCATGGGACTGGCATTGTGGTGCAGCGTGTTAAGCTGCTGTCTGCAATGTGGGCATCCATATCAGATGGAGAGTTCGAATCCTGGCTGATCTGCTCCCAATTCAGCACTCTGCTAGTGCACCTGACAAAGAAGCAGAAGATGGCCTAAGTGCTTGGGCCCCTACCACCTACAGTGGAGACCCAGATGGAATTCCAGGTTCATGGCTTTGGCTTGGCCCAGCTCCAGCTGTTGCAGCCATTCAGGGAATGAACCAGTAGATGGAAGATTCCCCCCCGCCCTTTGTGTGTCACTCTGTCTTTCAAATACAAAAATCTTATAAGAAAATCACTCATATGGAATTGGGACACACTATAGTGACTTCATTTTAACTCTATCAGCAAAGACCCCATCTCCAAATGAGGTCACATTTACAGGTACTGGAGGTTTGGATTTCAGCATGTATTTTGGGAGACACAATTCAATTCATAACAGGGTCAGTGATGCAAGAAGGGGACTATAGAGTGATAGGTCCATTAAGGGCTGTGGTCAGGGCCTCCAGACCTGGGAAGTGTTATGACAGCTACATTTGTGGGATTGTCCTTAATGTTCAGGCCAGCTGTACTCACAGGCAGGGACAGTGCAAGTATTCTAGACTGACTGTCATCTGATTTGTCATCTGGAAGGAAGCTGAGGGCCATGGAGGGAAATTAGGCCCGAGTACCAGGCTGTCTGTGTACAGGCTGCTGCTCTCAGGCCAGTGCCTGGTAGCTGCTTCTGATATATGCAGGCAGATAGAATGAAACCTATTAGGTCTGTAAGCTGGAGACCACGCCTTCCACCACACCTCTCATTTATCTGAAAGCAGAGTTACAGAGAGAAGGACAGAGAGAGAAAGAGACCTTCCATCCACTGGTTCACTCCCCAAATGGCCATGATGACCAGGGCTGGGCCAGGCTGAAGCTAGGAGCCAGGAGCTTCTTCCAGGTCTCCCATGTGGATACAAGGGCTCAAGGACTTGGGCCATCCTCTGCTGCTTTCCCAGGCACATTAGCAGGGAGCTGGACTGGAAGTGGAACAGGCGGGACTCAAACTAGCAGTCACATGGGATGCTGGTGCCACAGATGGTGGTTTATCTGCTAAGCCAGAGTGCCAGCCCGTAACAGAATGTCTTGTGAGGAACTGGGCTGCAGTCACCCAAAAGTGTTACAGGAAGTCTGGTGAGTTCTGTGAGGGAAGCCAGGAATTCCCAAGGTCTGGGCCACTGAGCGTATTGAGGAAGTCAAAAGGGCGTCTTTATGGTGGAGGAGGATTGAGGAGGTGGCCTTCCCCCTCCCCACTTTGAGGAACTTAGCTCTGAGCCAGCTAAGCAGACAGGAATTCTCCCATCCTCACTTCCTTATCCCAGCCCATCTTTTTCTCTCGCCTGTGAGAGAGCATGTGACTGGCGCTAGTGACACCTGGTGGCCGATTGTTCTACCAGAAAGGTCTGGTAGATCATGGCTGATCCCAGGGCCTGGCACAGAGAAGGCTGTTGGCTTTGAAGGAAAAAAATTATTGCGTGCATACTGGAAATAGGAGGAAGAGATGTCCGGACACCCTCGAGGAGGATCAGCCAGAACTGCCTGAGGGGTGGCACATTTCATCTGCTCAGGGATGGACGGACAGAGGGGCTCCGGTCTCTCCTGCCTCTCCATTTGGTACCTGGACTGTGTTCCGGGGCACCTGTGAAGCAGGGGAAGGGGCGAAGTTAATTGAATCTGCTCCAACATCTGAGTGTAATCATGCTCTGGAGCTACACATAGAGACTGGCAGGCTGGGTGGGACAGTGAGGCCAGCGAGGGCAGGAACCTGCCTAAGGTCCCACACTCGGACTGCCATGGAGCCAGGACTCCCAGCTTCCGCAGCATTCGATCACTTAAGACAGAAACACAGGAAGGCAGAGTTGGTCTGGAGCCCAGAGGAGCAAGCCAAGCCCCTGAGTAGCAGGTGGGGAGTGTTACCTTCACCGGGCACTCTCCCCAGCATGGGCCTTCCTGCCACCTGAAGATCCAGATCAAAAACAGACACTGCGACTCCAGCGTTTGGGCTCCTGCCACCCACATGGGAGACCCCGATGAAACTCCTGGCTTTGGCCTGGCCCAGCCCCGGCAATTGCAGCCATTGCAGCCATCTAGGGAGCGAATCAGTGGATGGAAAATCTCTCTCTGTAACTCAGACTTCCGAATTAAAATCTTAGGAGGCGAGATGACAAGTTACTGCTGGAGGACGAAGAGGCCGTCTCCACCTGCCGTGGATGGTACAGGTGAAACTCAAAGCACCCAGCAAAGGAACAGGTGGGGCCGTGAAGCCACAGGGAAGAAGCTAACGCATGGACACAGGCTCTTCTTGGCAGGCTTGGGAACAGGTGTGGCCCTGAACCACAGCCCCATGGTGGCAGCATGGGCCCACGAGTTGCAGCCACTCTCTCCCTTCCCAGGCTGCCTCATGCCAGGTTCCTTCTTCTCACCCCTGATACCAGGTCCTAGAAGCACTGCAAGCTCAGAATACGCCCAGATATGCATTCCTTCAATACTCAGTGTTTACTGAGCCCCTTTTCTCTGCCAGGCACCCTGCTCTGTGAACAAGATGGACCTGACATTTGCGAGAAGGGAGCTTACATTCTGGTTGGGTCCGATATAGAGGGAGGAGAGGACAAAGACGCAAACCAGCAAAATCCTATTTAATCAGCGCTTTTTGAGGAGCAAGCCCAGGGCCTCAGGAGAGAACGGATACGCTGCAGATTCAACGTGAAGGAAGCAGTGGAGGTGAGGTTTTCAGGTGAGGGGAACCCAGGTCAGGAGGGAGGAGGGCCCTGGTATTCTTGAAGAGTTTCGACCACGCAATCCTTCGGGCACTGGGATTCGGTGGGCACAGTGTGTGTTTAACAGCCTCCAGCGGGGATTTGATGCAGGTGAGGCTGTGATTGGCCGCCAGGGAGGCCTCGCGCACCACGGGCTGGAGGTTGTAGGGCCCAGGTCATAGACCGCTGAGCCGGAATTTGATCTTTCCACCAAGGGAGGGGGGCACCGAAGAGTGGCGATCCCGCCAGCAACACAGTCTATAAAAATCCCTCGTGCAGCTGCAGCCCGGGGCGCAGGTGGCATGAATCAAGAGGTGTCAGGGTTGGAGAAGCAGCCACGGGCGGGTGTGGAAGGGATGGGAGGCAGCACGAGGGAGACGCGGAGCCAAATCGTGCTAACAGAAGTCGGCGGAGCGCGAGGAGGGTCGGGGTGGGGTCTCCTGTGGGATCTGAGAGGCCTCTGCGGGGCAGACCGCCACGGCCGCGGGAGCTGACCGAGGACACAGGCTGCAGATGGAGGAGGCGCTGCCGGGCTCTCACTGACGCTTGGACATCCGGGACCCTAGCGCCGAGGTCCCGCACTCGGGTGTGCGCAGAGTGCACAGCTTGGACAGCGTCCACAGGCGCAGTCCACAGCCGCGTGCCCCGCGCCGGCGGCTCCCTTCCCGGCATGCCGCCCGGCGGTGACGTCACCGCTTCGGCTGCTGAGGCCGGGCTTCGCCAGAGGGCGCTGCTCCCGGCAACCGGGGCAGGGGCTGAGAGCCCGGCGGCGGCCGGCGGCCGCTGCGCGCACACCGCTGGGGCTGCAGGTCATGGCGTGCGAGCTGGGACCCCTGGCTACCGGCTCTGGCTCGCGGCCCCGCGCTTTTGCACGTTTCTTGCAGGCGCTCAAGGCAGAAGCCCGGGCTTCGTTTTCAGAGCGCTGGCTGCCACGCCCATACCCTCATCCAGGCGGTCTCGGAGGCTAACGACCACTCTGTGTCCCAGTCTTGTCAGAGCCTCCCCGACCCTGCCCCCTCCCCAGCCCGCAGCTTCCAGGGTCAGCTCCTGCCTGGGACCTCGAGGAAACGGTCTTCCCCCACCCCAGGTTCCCTTAACGACGACACGGAAACAACACAAACTTCCTGCTGAGCAGGTCTGAAGAGCTCTCATAGAGCAGGCG